AACTCATATGCAACCTTTTACAGCATCCAGGGCTGGATCAGGAACAGTGTGGTCAGCAGGACCAGGGAGGTGATTCTGCCCCTGTAGTATATATAGTATCATATATATTTTAATTGACCTGATAATTTTTTCTGGTTGAGTTTGTTTCTATAATTTTTTTACAGTCTATTTGAGTATTTAGATAGGTTACATTTATCTTGAACAGGAGTCTTTGGAAGCAGGACATTAGGCTGCAGGACATGGAACAGTTTCATTCTGCCGCTGCAGCTGATACTGTTGTCCAACAGTTGCTTCCCACACCTGAGGCAGCTCCCCTTCCAGAACCACCTGATCCAAAAACATGTAAGTAAGAGAATATTTATCTTCAACCTTGCTGTGATTATTTTTCTTGTTTGTAGCAAGGGTTTGTAAGTTGTTTAATTTAGGCTGTTAACAACACCTTTTTTAGGTGGGATTTGTGTGTTTAGGCCCCTGCTCTGTGAACAGGGAGCCAGCTTGGCCACTGGGGCAGTGGAAGAAAGCTCAAACCAGTAGCATGGCCAATCTGCTCAGGTGTCTTTGTGCTCCTCTGAATAAGTGACTTTTTATTTAGTCACTTAAATCAGAGACAGGCAGGCATTTCTTCCTTTAACTTAATAATGCAAAACTAGGATCAATAGACTAAATAGACAATTGAGTTTGAAAAGTGCTGTCCCATCTAATTACAGATGAGAATGGAAACTACTCTAAAATTTTGTTCTTACACTTTTATCAATTCCTATACTTCGTAAAATTTACGAAGTACCAATGTATTTTTATTATGCATTTTAGCCCTCCATTTTATCTTCCATTCATTCTTGCTCATTAGGAATTCCTGGTGCTAGTCAGAAGCACTGTTACCCTTGGCTTTTATGTATATAGTGTCCTTCCAATTATGAACATTTTCTGGCAGTATATGAACCAATTAAAGGTATAAAGCAGAGAATAAACTCACTCTTTCAGCTGTGTTGCCAGAAAAGAACACTTCTATGACTGAATCTGTACTGACTATACCAAAACCTGAATGCTTCCTGAATGGCTGGCAGGCTGGCTTGAGATCAAGGACAGCACTTCAGCTATGCCTGCTTGTCCAGGATCCTAAAGGTTTGGTTTTGATGACCTCTCTGAGGGAAGTGCTGTGGCCATTAGGCTGTACATAGAGCACAGGCAATGGCATTGCTGGGTTTTGGTGCTGCTGACTGCAGCTGCTTTCTTCTGCTTGGTACTCTGATGCCAATGTGTGGTCAGCTCATGGGAGGTGTGGAAAATAGACCTCATGTGAGGGCAGTGCAGTCAAACAGGAGAGAGATGCCAATGCCAACTCAGACAGCCCTCTGAAGGGGAAAAGTGCATCTATAGTATCACATTCAAATTTCTGAAGGATCTGGGAAGTAGGAAGTAATTATGGCAAATCACAGCACCACTGAAATATAACCTTCAATTTTTTCCTATGTCTAGAAATTCAGTTTTACGACCAACTCTTAGTGCAGATTGTAAAGGGCACGAGATACCAAAAGTGGTCTAGCTGTAACAGCACTGAGTTCAGCACAGGCTAATGTCTGCCTGTCAGGGTAAATTAGTCCACACTGCTTTTCATTTCTGTGGCTAAACTGCTTCTGGTGTCTGAGTTTAGTCATCTAAAACCAAGTCTGACATCTCTGAGGCACACTGCAGTTTGCAGTGTTGGTCCACCTTTAGTTTGAAATTTACTTGAGCTGGTGTTATGGCTGAAGAGAAGAATCTGTTTCATTCTAGCTGTGATGTGTTGATAAAATGACTGATACTGAGCTCGTGATACCTAATGTTTTTCTTCTTGTGCAATCAAAGTGTTTACCTGTAAATGAATGCTGTTTGTTTTGCTCAGGTTCTCCTCGAGAATACATAGAGTATTACATATTTCCAGTACTCTTACCTGGACTGGCTGAACTTTTGCATCAAGCAGAGAAGGAAAAGGCTTTGGAGGTTAGTTTTAGTTTTCAGTTCAAATCATTGGCAGGAAGTTGCAGCCTTTTGTTTCACAGACAGTATTTTTTGTAATTTGGTCTTTTGGAAGAAAACCAACCACAATAATGTGAGGTAACATATCATGATTTGTTTTGGTTCTGGTTTAAAGTGTTGTTTTCTCCAGTAATTCAGAACAGATAGCATACTACACACACTTGATCATTCTGACAATGTCTAGCTCCCAACAAATCCTCCTTAACAAATTAACAAATTCTGTCTCTAACCTGATTGATTTATAGGTGTGTGTAGGTATTTAGAATCTGTGATTAATACAAGTGAAATAGGAAAATGGTTCATTCACGTGTCATTATGGCATGACATGTCTGTCTTTCATTCCTGCCATCACATTTACATTACCTAGCCAAGAACAGCTTGAACACATATATTATTCATCACACTTTTAATGAAATCTGTATTGATTCGTTCTGTTTTTTAAAGGAAGCACATATCCTTTAACAGGAAAACACTATGTCCTACAGCTGGTTTAAAATACAGTCCTTGATAGATGTTACCTATTTCTGAAGGCAATGAAACAGCTCTTAATGCAAAAAGATGAGAATTCATAGGAATATTTCAGTTTCAAACTCAGAACAAATCTCAGGTTACTTTGTTTTTAATCTGAGAAGTTTTGCAGCTCTTCAGTGGTATAGCTATTAGAAAGTTTGTGTCCTGAAGATGGATATTGTATGGGTCTGTGTGCTGCTTTGTAGAAAACTAATAAAACCAATTATTTTCTAATGTATAGGAATTCCATAAAAATGAGTAGAGCTTATAGAAAAGACACTAAGGGATTTTTGTTCTTCTCTGAGGAGATGCTCTGCTGTTGGGGGACCAAGTGTAGGAAAGCAAGCTATGTCAGGTGACAGTTTTCCACTGTGACATAATTTCTTCCTCCCTTTGAACAATAACTTGTAAAACAATAGCTCTTTGTGCTTACCATGCAACTGAATATTTGTGTTCTTTTCCATTACTGTCCAGGTGCTTGTACTTGGATTTTAGCTTCCTTGTCCTACCTAAATACATAATTTCTATTTATGCTTTTGTTTCATAAGAAATGTGTTGTTCCATATGGATATCGAGGAAAAAAAATGCTATAACTTGTATTAAAATGGTTCATACAATAACTGGAGCTGACTTTTAGGATCAAAAGTCCTTAGGAAGAGTCCTTAGAAACCCAGAGCAGGGCAGGAACAGGGAGAAGGTATCCTGTGACAAACACACTGGAAGATGCCTTCATAAATTCACAAGAATCATGGAATTCATGAGTGAACAGGAGAGGAACATGATTAATTGTGATTAAGCTAACTGAAATCATGAAGGATGAGAAGAGAATACTGGGTTTGAATTTTGGCTAGACATGAGTCATTAAAGCCTGTAAAGGGCAGCTGTGTAGAATAAACCAGTGGAAGATAAATGGAAGAAGCACTGAAAGAAGAGCAGGAATAATTGAACTGACTGCAGTCAGCGTTGAATGAGGCTGGGAGAAGAGAGAGGGAATTGTGAGGGAGAATGAAGAGTGGGGTTTGGATGGGAGGAACTAAAGGTTTTCATGTTTTGAAGGCAAAGGAAAATGAATGGGAAGAGAATGAAAAACTAAGTAGGAGAGTTGTTGAGCAATTGAAGTTGTGGTAAGGGAGATCAAATCATGGAACCAACAGAGGAGTTAAAGGAGGAGACCAGAAAAGATGCATCCGTGTCTGCAGAGGAAGAATTGTAGAATCAGGTGGGAAAGTCAGAAAAGGGAGACAATTATGCTGAACATGGTGATTTCTGTAGGAAAGAAACCTGCAAGATCTTTTTGGAAAGTGATACAGAAACATAGCAAGTGAAATGTTTCATTAAAATAGACTCTCCTGCATTACGTAGTGCATATGAAAAATCTGAAAAGCAAAAACCTAGAAAAACCACCAGCTGCTAGATATATGTGCAGACTTCAAACTGTCATAAATATGAGAACAGCCTGCAGAAGCTTCGTTTTTAAATTAGAGATGAAAGAAACCTATTAGGTTGCCCTGGCTGAATTTTTTTCCTACCAAAAGTTCTCCTGTGCTTTATCCTATCTGCTGTCAAATGCCTCCAGGGGAAAGACTATTTTCTTAAATCTTTTCTCTCATGAGAACTGACTAATGCATTCATTTTTCAGCATTAAAACTGAACAATGTATAAATGTTTTTATTAGCATAACTCTGACTTTTCTTTCTAGTTAACTATCACAGAAAGAGGACTCTGTATCAGACTCTGTAATGGGATATATTATATTTAAACCTGTGATAGACCAGGGAAAGGGCATGGAGGAAGGTTTCCTAATGACTTTGCCATCATCTGATCACCAGTATTTTTTCATTATTATTAGCAAGCACATCATATTTAAACTGAAAAATGGAAAATGAATTCTGAATATAAATAGTTTATAAACACATCTGCGGATTAACAATGCACATTGTGCAGATATTTCCTGTGTTTGTCCTAATTCATGCAGCATAGGAGGAATGTGTCAAAGGCAGGTCAATTTATGTAATTTTTTCCCTTTATAAATGTTGACTGCTGTGCAACTAATGATTTAATTCACTAGCAAAATAAACTGTTTCCTGGCAAAAAAAATAACAAAATAAAAAATAGTCAGCTTGACTGAATTCCTCCCTGATAAGTTCACTGGCTTTAACAAAGATAAAGCAAGAAGGATGTGATTCCTCTGGTGATGGCTGTTTGGGCAACACTGTTCTGATCATTTTTTTCCCTTTGCAAAGGTAAAACAATTTACTTAAACAGATTAAATTGCAACTGTTAGATTAAATTGAATCTTGTTGTCAAAGTGTAGAATTTATTTCTCTGAAACAATTCACTAAGTAATGGGACCCAGTTTCATGCTGTGATTGAGAATAGCTGTGCAGTGGTGATCAGACTCTGCTGTTTGTTCTCTGATTCTGTTCAAGTCAACATTTGTCCATTTAACATCCAAAGTGACCTGGAGAAAGCTCTGCAGTGAAGGTGTTGGTCTCTTGAAGTGTAGGTGTTTGACTTCTTGGAACAGCATCTAGTATTAGGATAAGTGTGAAAATTGCTGAAGGAGCTGTGTTTCTTCACAGCCAAGCACTCTGACAGAGGCTACAGGAACCCCAAAGCTTTTGGTGTCATAAAACAGCTCATAAAGGCCTGTGGGGTTCAGGACTGATTCTTGGCTTATGTTCTCTTTTTGTTTGTTCTTTTGCATTCTTTTTTTTTTTTTTTTTAAAGTTCTCTTTCTTTTCTGTGGGAGTCAGACTGTGTGTCTACTGAGGGTAAGATTCACTTAGAGAAGTAAAAGCTTCCCTGGGTATCAGGTAGGAATGCCCTGCAGTCTGGCTCTAACCCTCACACTTGTCATTCCCAGCTACATGATGCCCTGTGTTCTTCACTGTGCAGTCAGCACCTCACGCAACGTTTCTCTTCCACTTCACCTGTGGCTGACCCCCAAATTAGGACATGTGTTAATACCCTGAACTGAAAGAATGATGCTATGTAGAGCACTTTTTTCCTGCTTTTCTCTTCACATCCCCCAGTCCTTTTGGCCTCATATTCTTGCAGCACAGGGAGAAACACAGATGGTGAGGACAATGCAGGGAGTAAAGTCATTCTTCACGCATTCAGTTTTCAATTACATGTTTATTGTATCTTAGCAAGTGGTAGTGGTATCTTTCTTTCTTACTATTTTAATCAAGACTCCAGCCTCTTTTGGGACATTTAGCAGTTTGCCAAATGTGTTTGACCAGTGTGAATTGTTTTCCTAAGAAGTAATAATTGCAGCTGAATCTCCCATTTGATGGGGTAAGTGTTACCTTCTGGATGGGAGCTCAGCTTGCTCTGTTGTGATAAAGCACTTGGTGTCTCTGGTCAGCAGGAGCTGGGTGTCTTTTAGTGTCCACTCTGTGTCTGTGTACATGCATAACACATCTCACGTAAGACAGGTTCTGAAGATACCATTCCAGTCAGGCTGTTCCGTTATTCTGACCAGAAGTCTGTGTTATGTTCTCCACAGCATGCTCACTGTGGTTTATGATAAGTAGAATAAGCACCTGTACTCATTTATACATTCAGCCTGTCAAGATGGAGTGTGGAGAGGAAGTCCTTCAGAAAAGGAGGGTCCTAATCCATTCTGTACTTATCAGAATTCATGCTGGGAATGGTTGGCTGTCCAGCCATTTAGCTGTCTGTCCAGCTAAACAGGTACTAACTGCCTGAGTCACTGTGGTTAATCTGCTCCAAAGCATTTTGCAAAACTCTCCTTGTGGTGAAGGCTTAGAACTGGGAGCAAAAGACACAAATGTTTTGCTCTGAAGCTCCAGGTTTTGAACTTTTTAGCTGATTCTCTGTAACATCCATGTTATCTGTGGTTGTGGATAGACGTATTCCATCCTTTGGTTTTGCCTTCCTTCTGGGCTACTGAGCAGCTATACAATACTTTGCTTGTGTGTGTCTTCAGTATTCACAATGCCTTCAAGCTACTTCCATGCAAAAAGAAACAATATCCAATCAATGTTCCTTCTGTGCCTCAGAAGAAATGAAGTATTTTAAGTATGATAATAGAATTTTGAACAAAATGACAAGTAATTTGCAACATATTTTCATATGTGAGTTCTGTTCATTTCTTCACAATGGCATTGCCACTCAGAGCAGCATTGAGAGACATTTGTTCTAGATATGGTGCAGCAAATATCAGGGTAATACATGTAGAATTTTCACACTCATATTTTGACTTGGCTTGAAAGCATTCCACAAGATTTCTAAAATTTTGGCTGAGCTACTGACTGTTGGCAGTAACAATACTCAACTCGACAGACTAATGCGCTATCTATTTTATTTAATAAAGGCGGTCAATTTAGCTTCTGTTTTCTTTCAGTAGGAAAAATGACCAATCCAGAGATAATAAATAATTTGAAACTATCTTCTATTTTTAGAAAAAAAGGACCAAATTTATTGCCTGGGATTTCCTGACTGAGTGGTTATACAAGTAAGTTAATCATGGTTTTTTGCTATTAATTATGCTCAGTGATTCAAAGGCATTCATTAGCAAATTGAATAGCTGAGATTTAATGTAATATAAGTTGTTTTCCTTTTTTTTTAGCAAGAACCCAAAGAGGAGAGATGAGTCATTCACGGAATTCTTTTCCATTCCTTTTGTTAATGACTGGCTGAAGGACCAGTAAGTTATTGCAGTACCCAGAGTAACCTTTTGTCCTTTTATTCTTTTGCCCCTGCTATTCCAAAAACGTAATAGAGCTTCAACGTGTTGCAGTTGAACCCTGAAATGTCCTTTACTGCCTGCAACAAAAAACTGTGTGATGCTTTCGAACTTGCTAGTTTTGTGCCAGAATTATTCGGAGAGAAATTAGTTTAGAATTCCTAAACTTTTTAATTGTCAAGTGCAAAACATTTGAACAGTTTGGTAGTATTAGGAAGATCTTTGTACTAAGGAACAAAGCAGTGTTTTCAGTGATGATTCCTACTATGGAAATCTTTGAGGATATAGTCAAGAAATTCTTCCTTTAGCTGTAAGCAGCTGTTTTAAAAATACCTGTAATAATCCTTGGTGTCAGCATGCATTTCTGCAGACATTTATGAGTTTGTATCTGAGAAATGAACACGTGTTTTGGCAGCCTCAGTCATATATGCCTCATTATTCCTGGAGAACCAAGCTGCAAAGTAGTTTTGAAAGAAATGTTGCTGTCCCTGAGAATGCATTTAGTTTTCAAATATAGCTGCTGCTGAGAAAAATAATAGTCCATAGGGAGAGAACAAGACAATTACGGAGGTCAGATTTGAAAGAAAATTTTCAATTTGAAAACTTTATTGGAGTCCAGATTGGTAGTCAGTGAAATGTAGAGATGAATATTCGTAGATATGTTTGCTTCATTACACTATGTAAGTGGAAATTGAGCTTGAACTCCTGTCATATGAAACTTGGAAACCTGAGTCACTGATGAAGCGAGAGGAAAGCTCCTTGACTTGCACAGGTCTTTGGGGACAAGCTGGAGATTGTGTCATGAACAGTTAACTTTTACCTCTCAGATAGTCAGAGTTGTGTAGGAATTTTCTGCAGTGAGAGAAGGACACCTTTGCAGAGGGACCCATTTCATCTCAACTCTGATACCTTCTGAGACCACATACAGCACTGGGGGATGTGTCTGTTTCCTTCTGTCAAACATAGCTCTTGCCAACAAGGTTCCCATTAAAGGAGGTGAATTTTGTTCTTTGGAAAGTGACCATGAACTGCAGAGAGGTTGTCATACTCGTTTCTTAAGCATACTGAAGAGCCATGGGTTAGTAAGGCAGTTTTGATACCACTGATTTGTAAGGATAGATATTTGTACCCAAGATAAGACAGATCAGTTTTATAAACGTTTCTCTTTGGAAGTAAAGCTAACGAAAATGGTTCCCTGCTCTCTCCTGTTCTTCACCCCAACCTAATACCACCTTGTCTCTTTGGTAGGGTCCTTGGTTATTCTGCTCAGGGACCTACTCTGAGTTAGGAATCTCTCTGCCAAAATGTGTGAGGAGAGTTTGTATAGCTATTTAGAACACAGATAATTTCTCCAATCTGCTTCACCTTGGAGAGTGACAAAGCTCGGTATTGGCACAAACAAAGGATTAAAATGAAGGGCTCAGGGCAAGGTGAAGAGAACAAATGAGCTGCTAAGATATAGAGGTGGTGGCAGGAACTGCTTAAGTCAGCTTTGCCAACAAGAGAAATACACTGTGGAATCACAGCCTGAATGACTCATAGCTTCTGTTAGTACTTGTGCTCCTAAATAATGTAGTGACAGCTCCACAAGGACACAGAAGTGTCAAAGTCCTACTTAAGTTGATACAATTGATCTTAGATCCTCTGAACCAGTAGGCCTTTAAAATTATAATTATTAAAGTTATTATTAAACCATAACTTTTTGTGAACTTACCTTAAAATTGCAGATTTAACAAATGCTGCTAGTGAAGTTAAGCGTTGTTAGAGCAAAGTGAAGGAATGCTATAATAAATAAGAATAAACATGAGAGAATATATTATTATCTCCTTCTGGATATGTCATAAATAGTCTGTCATTATATCCTTCCAGATATCACACTTAAAAAGTAATTGAGTCCATGCTTTTTATTGTCATTCCCATTTCTATCTTAAAGGAGTTTTCATTTTTTAAACAGGATTAAGAATATCTAAGAGACAATAAGCTAAAGAATGCTGGTCAAATTTTGATGGAGAACATCCTTATCCCAACTGTTTGGCTGGGGTTATCAGTGCAAAGCAGTCACCATGTTTAAAAAAACCCAAAATAACAAAAAACACCAAACCCAAGAAAACCCAGAGGGATAACTTTTTTATTCTGTCAGAGATCCAGCTTTTTTTAATATATTCCATACTCTAGTGTGACTTTTTTGGCTCTCCTCCAGTGCCTCCAGTTTCTTCTTTGAAGCTCAATTTTTTTCTGAAGAATAGTCAAAGCCACAGTGCTATGAGCCTCACTCTCTGTACCATGTGTTTCTAAATGAGATCTTGCAGCCTACTTTTCCTTTGTAAGGAGACCTAAATGCTGCATCCATTTCCAGAATTTTAAATGCAAATATTGTACCTTCAAAAGCAGCTTATTGTAGGTGAAGGAGCTTTTGAAATTTACATTTTTTTCCAGCTTTGTAGTAATTGCTATGACATCAGTAAATAAAGCTTCAGTATAGTTGCCTTGTCTTCCACTGGGTTCTGTATCTTACCAGTAACACTGACAAAATATCCCCTGGGAGTCTTCAATTCCTGAAGCAGATTTCAAAAGCTTAATAGAAGGAGAAGCCTCAACACTGGACTGGTAATCTACATATCACATCCAGGAGAGCACAAAACATTTCTATTGTCTTGAAGAACAGCTGTACCTGTCAGAGGAGAGGAATCTGGAGTTTGAACAAAAAACTAACCCAAGGTTTGGGGAACTTGCTGAGATACATAATGAGTACCAGTTTCTACATTCAAGACTGCTGATATAACCAAGTAAAGGAAATAGAATTAGAGCTGTGAATGTTTTGTACTCCTATAAATATGCTAATGAGCAACACAGTTGCCTTTTGTCAGCGTTTTCCACTGGTGTTTCTGGTTGAACAGCAGTGAAGCTCAATTGCAAGTAACCAAGCTCTGTGTATTGAATCAGGGACAGGGAGAGAGTGAGCTCTGTTTATGCTCTGATCCCCCTGAAAATGTTACTTTTCTGGCATAGATAGGCTGAGTATCATGGGAGTATTATTATGCAACCTTCTTTAGCTTGTTAATGAAGAAACCGATAAAAAATAGTTCCCCTGCACTGAAAAACAATGATGTGATGTAAAAGTCTGTCACATGTATTTAATAACATGACAGCATTGTTCAAATTCACCTTCGACCCTTGCATTCAGTGAGAGACAGTGGTTCATGGATCTAGGTTAGGAACAAGCAGAAGTGTTTTCCTGATTGTTGAAGATCAGATAATTTTTTTATCTGCATTTTCTCTTTTTATATTAGAAATATTTCCTTGCTGCTCAGTCCAGAAGGAGCGTTTCCTGGTGTAATCTATCTCTGTGTGCCAAAACAAGTGTGCAGATACAGAGAAAATAAAATCATCATGGCTTTAGTGAAGTGGGCAGCTAAGATATGCATGCCCAGAAATGATTACTAAATCTGAAGCTGTGGCTTTTTGCCAGATATCTCTGTACACAAATATATACATTGATTATTTTTTTTCTTCCTCCCCCAAATACTTTAATTAGGTGAAGACTACTGGTCTCAGCTGCCTTTACAGTTGACTTCATTGTGAGTTCTCAGATGGCCAATAGGGGTAATTTTGCATGGGTGACTGATTTGTTTTCTTTCCATAATATACCCAGTTTTACAGGCTTTGCTTTTTGCACACTGCTATATTTCACTGGTTTGTGTCTAAATCAGCCACATTTAGAGTAGATTTCCTTTGCATTATGTTTGTTTTCTTTCATTTGCTTCAATCATTTGAGCTTTACATAATTTTTGGGGTGGGACAACACATTTTATTGTAGTAACAGAAAACTCCAGGAAATAGATCTATTTAGATGTTATTCTGTGTGTTTACAGGTTAAAAATTGCCATTCCAGTAATGTGGCATAATACAAGGTAGCAAAGGAGAAATTTTTGACTTTAAAATTACGTATTGAAAAATTGCACAAAGTTTCTGTATGAAATATTTATCTTGTGTAATGGTGCTTTCTGAGCTTGAAGGTTTTATGGCTGCAAATCCTGATGCTGTGTGGAAACTTGCCTTAATTTATGTAAAGATTGTCAAAATGGCAATGAGAAAATTGAAAATGTATTAGTGCTTGGTGACATCTTCCTCATGTTGCTGTTAGAGCACTAAGGGGAGATTATTTTTGCTGCTGTTAGTTTTTCATGTTTTCAGGATATGAAGTCTGATCTAAAGTACACAAACATAAATGGAAATTTTCCCCATGAGTGGCCTTTGGAATAGGTCCATGTTTGGTTTCCTTCAGTCCAGGACCACAAACACTCTAACAACTGCATAAATATTGGTCCTACAAAAGAGAAAACTGAGGTGACACATTATGGCTTGCAAAATATGTCACAAGTATGCAAGCAGGGGAGGAGGACTGAGTTTTAGCATGACATGGGATGAGTTCTCCCCAAGGAGAGAGCATGGTAAGAGGCAAGAAAGCCACTGTAATTTTCAGACAAAACTCAAGACAAAAGATTTTTGCTCTGCTATTTTTTGGAATGTTCTCACTACTCAGACTTCTTGCTGTGCTTCCTCTAATTCCTCTGACATTCTTGTTACCCATCACCTGCCTCAGTCTCCTACCTGTGACATGACTCTGCCTCCCCATGGAATGACTCTCTCATGTTGTTTCCACAGTAGCTTTTCTTTTTATCAGGCCTTTTCTTCACTATAAATAGATGAGTAAGTACATAAATAGTTTCTATGTATTAACAGTTATCACTGTGGCCATTTTGATAATACTCTTGGGTGTAGTTAATACATTTTTTAACTCTTCAGTTAGCTACTGACAGTATTAAGGAGCTTTCATTTGGAGAAGGTGACAGAGAGGAAGAGTTTAGGCTTCTGCTAACTAGCAGGAGCCCAGTTTAAAATGTCAGCTCATTTGCAGTTCCTCTTTTAAGAAGATTCAATTTGGTCATTCCCCCATTTACAGGCCTTCAAGAATGTGTTCCCTTCATATAATGTACTAAAAATTTTCTTGTCTATCATAAGGATTTTTAAAATTCAGGTATAATACTATTATTCTAGATTGCTGCAAATGAAAACCACTGATTAGTAATTTCTTTCTGACTGTGGAACCGTTGTATTAATAGAGAAAATGTTACAAAGAAAGGTCTCAGTTCACACTCAGTTTGACCTGTGAAAATGTTCCAGGGCATTTTGTCAAGTGTCTGGGGGAATATTTCCCTATAAACCTGTGAGGCTTATACAGTGAACGTGTAATATTTGATTAATGTATCTAATTGATTTTAAATACTGGGTCAGATAAATGAGACTTTGGTGTCTGATTACTTATTAACAATCTGTTTCCTGATTTGGGGGTAAATTACCTTAATAGGATTCATCAGCAGAGATTCTGCAGACATTTATTTTGACTCCAAACAATACTTTTTCAGTGTCACATGCATTTGCAACTCTGGGTAGGCATATAAGAAGAAAGACTTAATGGAGGCAGATGTTGCTGTAGTATTTCTCAATTCTCTGAACAGGAATAAGAAATGCCAAAAATAAAAAAGAGAACTGCTTTGACAAATACCCAGAAAGCATTTTTGGTTATTCCAACCAGCATGTGAATTTCTGGAGTACTTCCTAAACCAAAGACTTCCTCAGAATCCTTTTTTAAAGAGTCTTGCAGATCACTGTGGTAATTTACTTGCGTGTCTCATCTTTATCCCTATTCTTTGGTCTGTTCTTTTAGATTACGAATTTTACAGTCACTCTGTCATTGCGTGTGTTCATACATGATATAAATACTCAAAACCAATAACCATCACAGTCAAACTGGAGGTGAAGTGAATGTGGCTGGTTAATATGGCTGTGGCTGTTGCATGCAAACTTAGGAGACCTGATGCTTTTCATCAGAGTTGCTTCAATATTTCCAGAGAGGGAGAGAGAAATCCTGATCATTCAGTGACTGCACCTGGATATTCCACTCTCCCAGGCACTGATGCTCTCTGTAGCTAGCACAGTGGTCCTGCAGGCAGCTGGTGGTGAAATTTGAGGATTGTCTGTGACTGTTAGGGAACAGATAGCAATAAAAAGAGCAATTACAAAATCCTGAATTATATATACTGAAATTTTTCTTGAGGATTTTTTTCCTATATTTCCTTTTCAAGGAAGGAATCAGGCCTCCTGTTTGTAGGACAGATTGGGAACTTAAAGCCAATTGGGGTTTCTGGGCATTGCTGTGTAGAAATACTGAGTGTATTCAGTGTCCATCAGTGTGACTGTGAACCCCCAGAGGTTAGTGTGTCAATTTTGGAGAAAAAATAATGGAGAGACTTTTTTCCTCCCTTCTTCAGAGTTCGTTGGGGAACCCTTCTTCTGTTCATGAGGAAATCAGATGCATGTCTTCAATAAGAACCTCTTTCAATACCTTCTACATGTATTTAATATGTCTGTTTTGTGTCTTCTGGGTGCCAAATTCTACCTGCATAACATAATACAATTAGTGAGTCTCTCACATGATCAGGATCTGTACAAGTTTGCTCAGAAAGCAAGAAACATGTTTGAAAGTACTTAAATCATTTTACTGATGCTCTTTTACAGGTGAAATTTATGTCAAACTATATACCTCTATCAAAATAGGTATCGATATATTTAATGCTTTGATGATGCATAATCAAAGACTAAATAAGCAGAATATAGTTAGTATACATTGTGCTGTCAGTTTTAATCTTCTTGCAGGCATCCAGCTGTCCTGTGCCACAGATGACATACTCCCTCTTTTCCTAGTTCACTGCTGAGGGGTGATTGCCTCTGCTCAGATTCTATTTTTATTTGACCCGAAGCCAATTGCGTATATTCTCTCAGACAAAACTGGACCTGGCATGACTTCTCTTCTTTAAAGCTGCCCTGTTGAAAGGATTGATATTTGCCAGTGACTGGCAGACTGAAAATTAAGTCCTGTTCTTGCTTGATTTATATTGGTTTCTCAATTTTAGTGTTGGATTATAAACTAGAGATTTTTGCAGTTGGAAAATGAAGGCAGATGAATGCTAGAGTTGACCTTGCAGGCTAGGAGGAACCTTAAGTTGTTCCTTGGAGATGTGCTTATTCTTAGAGAAAGTTCAATGTCTTTGATATAACTGCTGTAAAAGATGTAGGTCTTTCTGTGATTTTCCCACTCTAAGTTTTGGGTTTCAAAAAGATCGAAAATAGAACAGAGGATGAAAGCCTATCAGGGAAACCAGCACAGGCCAACTTCAGATCTTAAAGTCTGATTTTAAGAAGCTGTTAGCTCAGGAAGCATTGCTTGTCCAGCACTTATGATTTCCCCTGAGCAAGAGAAATGCTAATTAATGTTCACAGAGCCAAGACTGTTTAGCTTGATGGAGAGCCTGGTTTTTATTTTTGTCTTATTTCTACTTTTCCAAACAGACCAAGGTTTTCTTTCACATCAGAATAAATGTAGGCCAAAACCCAGCTGACATGATGATGAGACCAATTTAGCTGAGTACACAGACTAAAATGGGGTAGTCAGTGTAGCATTAGATAAGAGCTAAGATTGTTCTCCAAGTTGAAATGCTCCTGCAGTGAAGACAAGCCCTAAGAGAAAGACGTCAGAGAGCATAGGAAGCTTACTAGGGCAGAGACTAATATGAATGAAATTAAGTGAAAGGAAAATGTAAGCTGTCAAGCCTCCTAACTCGAGCTGTAATATACTGTAAAATACATTTCCAAAAGGAATTGCAGCATTTTAGCCAGAAAATGTGAGGCTGCATAAATAAATAGCTCATTGATTGATGGGCTTTGCAGTGGCTGTGTCTTTATGGTATAAATACTATAGATAATGTTCCTGCATGGTCTTCCAAGTCAAGGCTGTGTTCAGTCTGTTCCCCATACAGGCAAAATGGCTCTTGGCAGCTCTTCTAACGCTGTGCCAAGGCTTCTCTGTCTAACTCGTGTTTTCCTGAGTTACGACATTATTGCCCTGTAGTTTGTTAGCTTTAAATTATATTTATTCTCAAAGAAAGCACATCAATGAATTTTATTTCATCCTTTCCAATGGCTGCATTTTAATCCTCGTGTGTGAGAAATAAATCAGCATTCATAGAAAATGGCTTTTGAGAAGCAGGATTAGATATAGCCATTTGAAGTTTTGTTAGTGATGGCTGAAGTTAATTCCTGGTTTGTTTCCCACTGAAATTGGAGGCAGCAGAGTCACCACACATGCTCTCAAACTACTGTATGTTTGGGATGGAAATAGTTGACTTCACATGTGTATTACTTTCTGTTACATAAACTATGTGTGTGCGCTCTCAAAAGTCAAATGTCAGCATTCAAAGAACTTGTTTAGACATCTCTAAACATGCATCCATGCCATGCAGATATGATAATCATCACTTTTTTAGTATTTTATAATTTAAAGTGACATCATGATGTAAATTAGTATACTAAAATATGTTTAGATGTGTGGATTTAATGTCATAAATATTTACATCATGAGATTGTTCACTGTTGCACACGCACTCCAACCTCCTCTGCTTTACCACAAGCTGTTTCCTTGCCTCCCTCTCACTGCCACCTCAAACCTCCCCATAACAGTGGGAGTTTGAAATCCATGTAGAAGAATAAGAAAGATTCCTCTCTTTGATGTGCCATTTGTATTTGATTGTTTTAAGAACAAATTACCGTAATGTATATAACAATATATTTGTAAACATGATACTCTCTGTGCATTTTATTTCCAGAGCAATAAGGAATTCTATCTTTCAAGCTCCTGAACAACATTTCCCTTCTTGATTAAATATACTGTTGGGGAAGAAAGTATTTTACATTTCTAGGCTGTCTGTTCACAACAACATATTTTTTTTTTCAGTCCTAGACCACCAATTCCTCTGTCTGTGCGTCTGTCAGAAGAAGAAGCAAGCACAGTAATTCAGTCCTTCTGGAGAGGTTATCGGGTAAGAGTAATCTATAATTATTTTGCTTGATGCTGAAAACTGTAGGACTGTGAAGGCCCCAGGGAAAATCCTTACATAAATTTTAAGTAGGGGATACTATAAATAGCTGCTGAGACCCCTATGGTTCATTGGCTTTGGATGTTGCTCTGCCTTATGCCTAGTGACTACAATTTTTTCACAGTCATTTATGCTGATGTAATCTCACTGTTTCCCTCAACAACAGAAAATCCACAGAAATTTAATTTTCAAAAGTACATTTAACACTGGACAATTTTCATTTTGTAATTTGAAGTTGCTCTTTGGCTAGTTGCTAAAGGATGGAGAGTTATTTTGCTTCAGGCAGGGATATGTGAGCAAGTGTGGAGGTGCAGAAGGAAGATTGGTGAGGTCTGTTAAGAAATAAAAGCATACAGAAAAACAGGAGAAAAAAATGGAGGCCAAGAATGAAACAGGAGGTATAGGAGAGGCAGGAAGGCTATTATTCAAGGAAAGGGAAAACAAGGTGGCAAGCAGATGTTTTTAGGCACACCAGTAATGCATTGCTAATGCAATCCCGAATTTAAAGGGAAAAACCAAGGTGCATAAAATAAATACAAAGAAAATTGTCCAATACTCTTATTCTGGTGGGTAATAACCATGCTAACCCTAGGGAACTCAATAAATTACTTTGAAGAGCCTGTCAAATATTTTATTAAAAAGCTCTAACACCTTCACCCCTTGCAAAGACAAGGACTTGAAATTTGGGTGACTTTGGTGACGAAGAAATGTCTTTGACTTCTTTATAAAAATTTAAGCTTCTAAATAGCCTCCAGATATAGCAGCAATTTTGTTGTGATGGACAGTGAGACATCTCTGGATGTCAGGTGTTCTTTAAATAACAATCAGGATAAAACACTCTCTGTTAAGTTCTTCTTTACTATTTTTACCAAACATGAATATGTGAGTGGCTCCTGTAATGTGCTGTGCAGCCAAAGACTGTGAAATACCTTGAAATGATCTTCTTGACTGATAGATTTTTGCAATGCTTTCTGCTTGTTCGTTTTCCTTTATTTTTCCTCTTTTAAGCGGAGATGGAATTGACACTAACACTAATTAGCACTGACAGTATCCCTGCAGGCATCCTTATGGAGGGTATTGCAGAGGCAACCATTCCCCAGGAACAGTTATGTTTGCTGAACAGTGCAAGGTTGCTCAGATACCTTGTGCCTCTGTGAAAGCTTGTGAAGGGCACAATTCTTCCTTGCTGTAGAGATTCACTTCAGAATTTTCACCCTAGCATGTATCATTCTAAACGAGCTCTCAGAAATGAGAGAGAAACTGTACCTGTAAAAAGTAGGAGACATAAAAAATAATTCAGGCTTTCAAATGAGCTGTTAATGTTTTTGCTTATTAGAGCTGAAAGAACTTGGGGCTTTTAAAAATTCAAAATTAAAATCAGAATGTAAAATAAAAATCAGAGTAACAAGTGGCTGCGTAGGACAATGTGTTATCCTTGGGCTTGCAAATGAAGAGAACACTGAGCTTAAATGGGATTTCATTGTGTTAATGATAAAGTGTGTCATGAACGTTTACCAAGGCATTCAGATTGTTTGCTTCTAAAATAAATAGGTCTGTCAGCTAACACTGCTTCAGTGTGCTAATAACTGAACACTTACAAATAATGCCCTTCTGCATTCTAAGAATGCTATTGTGTCAATATTTTATACTCTTTTCTGATGTTTTTCATTAAACCTTGTTTGTAATTCAGAGAACTTACAACTTCTTAACTGTTATTGAAATAAAAATTTACACGGTGTGATGATATTGAATAATTAAACATAAGCACACAGATATTTTAGATGGCACTGAGATAGAGGCAGTGTACTTCATCCTTGGTCTCCTAAGACACATCTTCTATGGACTCAGACCATTTTTGAGGTATTTTGTTAACCATATTCATTTAGGCAGTAGAGTTTATCTAGTTATATAACTGACTGAGCATCATGTCTTCTCATGATGCTTCACTTGTTTCTGCCATGTCTAGCTGTCTGAGTGTGCCAGTTATCACAAACACATGGCAAAAAGTGCAAAAATGGATTTGGCAGTAAAGGTTTTTCTATGTAAAGGGAAAAAAAGCTATAGGTACAGAATATTGAGAACTTGTTAATACTAAAGCGTGATCAAAGCAGCACATTCATCCTTATCTGCAGCACATTTCAGGAAAAAAACCACTTGTTTTGGTAGGGATAATTAGTGGCTGCCATCAACAAAGTCTTTCATACAAAGACAGTGATGGGTACTTAGAAAATAGTTTCAAGTTTAATCCAGAACTAAATTCCAGAGCAAGTAGCAGTGGAAGCTACAACTGCTGAGTACTCTTAGGAGATCGCAGAAAGGAAGATCTCATCTTGAGAGGTTCTGTCTGGGCAAGGAGGAACACTCAAATAAGACTTGAAACAGCTCTGTCATCAGAAATCTTTCTTTTCACTTTTCACAATCCTTTTTCATTGAGGTTCCATTCATCTGTCAAGGCCAAGGCAGTGTTCAGGGAGGTATCGATTTTCCAGGTACTTTTGCAATGGAAGATGATAGATTCCTTCACCCCTCCACTGCAGAATCTTTGCTTAGTGAATTTTTTTATGGAGTCTTCTTCATCTTTACAATGTATATAACCATTCTAGACTGAAGGAATTTTTTTATTCATAAAATTTCCTCTGATGTCTCTGGGTGCAACTTTAGTGTTATCCTCCTGCTGTTGTGCAAAATGTTCTCACCTGGCATTGAAAACAGTTTATTTTGATTAAATCTTGTAACATCTTAGAGCTGAAATTGGACAGCATTATGTAAATATTCAGTGCTATTTTGTACATGTTGTTTGAGCAAAGGTTAAACATAAACTTGGTTCAATTTTGATTTATATCTTACAAAGTGTAGTTGTGCTCTTGCTATCACAATTCATATTCCTTTCTGGCAAGTTGTGGCTACTAACAAAGTCTTTAACCCAGAAGCTCACATGAATATTTGCTGTTATTTGCAGCAACTTTAGAGTCAACCCAAGTGACTTGGGTAGGAGTGAACTCTCACTTCAGAGTTAAGGCCCCTTCAGGGCTTCAGGCATTGCTGGTTTGCAGGAGAGTCAGGTCAAGTTGTTTGGACAAGATTCTTGTCTCTCTCTTTATTTGCCTGGAGATTTTGCTGCTGAGTCATGGCTTGTTAATCATGGTAGAATTGCACTCTGGTTACAAACCAGGCTACTTTCTGAGGAATTATCACAGCTATGCTCAGCTATAATCTGTGAAGCATATTTGGAACATTTTGATGTATTTTGTTACCTTCCTGTTCCCTATTTTACTGCGGGTGGTGTATCTGTGTTCTTTTTATTTGGTCACTTGTCTAAAGAAACACTTTGTTCTGGGAGCTCATGTTCACTGCTTGGATTTAATGTTGGACTTTGGAGGAATTGAGTCTATCTGACTATGCCTTTATCTCAGAACACTGTATTTCACTATGTATTTCACTGCACTTTCACAGCTTTATTTGGCTAGGGAGAGTGTACAGAATCTATTATACTTGCCTTTTAACTGGTAAGAGTGATTGTCTTCATTTTCAACTTACAAAGGTTACTGTGTCCCTGTCAGGGGCCAAAATACAGGTCTTACACAGCTGAAGTTGTGAATGGCTACATCATTTTTTCAAAAATTTCGATGTAGAGGTAGTAATTTCTCTGTCTTCCTGGTTCATCTGTTACTGTAATTTATGTGCTTGTGTCCCAGAAGTGTTCCCTTAACCCTTTCCCATGCAGATAAACTGACTCCATCTAAAAGGGAGTTATGGCAGTGTAAAAGAAAAAATTGTCTCTTGCAAGCCGAAAGAAATTATCCTGTGTTTGGTATTATATTCTATTTTTGCAAATAGTATTTGATGGACTTAATAGAAAACAGCCTTATTTTTTTGTGTAGCTGAAAATGAGATCACTAATAACTGTAACTTCTTGAATTTTTAAGCTTTCATACCAACCTTGTAAGAAATTCTTATGACTTCTATAGAAGACAATACAGAACTATAATTAATATAATGGGATATTATCAGAGGTCTAAGAGGTATCTGATGTCAAGTCACTGAGTAAAAGTCTTGGCTGTCTTTATCGATCGAGTAACCTTGTATTGTATTTCTGCTCTGCCATTGCACTGAAATACAGCAAGTTATCTTCTCCTGAGAGGATTGAAAACTGCTGTGGGAGTTCAGCTACTGTCTATGCATTCTTAGCTGCACCACAAAGGAGAAGTTCTGGGTAGAAATAATACTTTTGATAAATAATTGATACTGTTTTCTTTAAGGTTTGGGGTTTTTTATAACTAATGGAAAACTAAGTCCTGCTCTTTTGCTCTGTATGAATCTTAGCAAAGTGGGAGAAAAGCAAGAGTGTAATGGAGAAGAGTAATAGAGTTCGAATCACAGAGCAAACTCAATACCATATCATGGAAGAATAAAATAAATACAAATTTATTTAGAATTTTTCTGGAAGACTAGGTAGTCAGCTTCCTGCAGGCAAAAATGTGTCCAGGAGAAACTGAGCTTATTGCTGCTTGTTTCTACCACGTTATTCAACTTCAGCCTGAGTTACTAGGACATTAAGGCACAGAATAGTAGAATGGTTTGGGTTGGAAGAGGCCTTAAAGATCATCTCGTTGCAACCCCCATGTCATGGGCAGGGACACCTCCCACTAGCCGAGGTTGCTTTGAGCACCATCCAACCTGGTTTGGAACACTTCCAGCGATGGGACACCACAGCTTCTCTAAATATAGACCTAAAACCTAATGGCATTTTTTATACATAACATTTAGAAAAGAACCTCCACTAGAAACTGCATTTTTAATAATTCCATTACAATTTGAATGTGGCTCTAAAAGAATAATCACCAATGCCTAAGGTAATAAATACTAGCATGTCTCCTTCCCACTGTTGTTCAGAAGGACAGTATCTAGTCTGGATTTGAGCTCTAGCCCTGGAGGTGAATTGTGTGAATGCCAAGGTAGACAGTGGGCAACACAGTGCTAATTAATCAAATCCTGCTTACAGGTTTAAGTAGCGGAATGGTAAAAGCTGTTGATGCAGAGCTAGCTCGTTCTTATGTTTGTAGGAACTACACCAACAGAAAAGCAATGCTAGAAAAATTCATCTTAAATCTAAACCGAATCAAGGCCTGTGACTATTGTCATTTTTTGTGGAAGCAGATTATGCCCTTCATGAGGTGACTGACTGACAAAGAATAGATACCATGTAATGCAGTCCAATTACTTTAAATAACAGATTAATGGCTCTCCTGATTGTGAAAATTGCATGGCTGGGATTGCCAGTCAGCCTATTTGCAGCTCATGGCAGGTGTGAATCACTTTGCTGGAATAAATTTCCTTCTGTATGACCCTTCATGCACCTCTTCTGCTCTATTATGTTGGTCAGTGGGTTGGTTTTATAGTGTTGTGGTTTTCTAAAGGCACTAATACCCTTCAGCATAATGCTTTAAATTTTAATTAACTCGAAGAATAAGTATCTCACTGCAGTCACATTCTCAGGAGTCCTTGGTAATCAAAGTGATCACCTAATTGCCATATTTATGTTTTCAATGGGGTTTGACAATTATGTGGGTTTTATTTCTGTGTAGGTTGAAAAGAGTAAACCTCTGGGATTGTGCTTTTATCTCAGGCCCAGAAAACAGTTTGGCTGTCATGTATTTGCCTAGGCACAGCCCCATGAGAAAAAATTGTATCATCATCTTGGGTAACAGGAAGGTATATAATTTCAGTTGTATTTTCTGTTTTCCCTTTCCCAGGTTCGTCATGACAGTGAAATACAAGAGCTGTGTCAGTGGCAAAAGAAGTTGAGAGAGGAAAGAAACATTAGTAACGTAGTGAATGAATTCTGGACTAAGCAGGAAGCCAAAGGTAAGTGAATTAGTGAGGTGTTTTTGTTTTGTTTTGGGGTCTTTTTTACAATGTGTTGAATTTTTATGCTTAAAGTTGTATTAAAAAATAGGCCACAGACTAGGACACTAATCCTGAGTGAGAAGGTATTGTGTGCTGGAAATGCCTGTCTGGTTCTTTACACTCACTGCTTACTCTACTTTAGTATAGCTCAAAGTCACAATGAAAAATAAAGGGCAAAAACTCAATCATTTCAAAAGACTAAGAGAATTTGCTGGCACAGTATTCCTGGGGCAGGATTAGCCCCCTACCAGATACTCAACATGTAAATACTGATTTTTACCATATGGGTCACAGTGCAGTTATTCTGAACCGTGGGATTTCTATCTGGTAAGGTTCTACTGGCATTTTCCTGTAGTTATTTATAACAGAAGTTGGCCTATACAGTTCTAAAAAAAGAAAACAAACCCAAACAAGCCAATAAATTGCCAAGGGAAATGAGATTGCTTTAAGAACTGGCACTGTAATTTGCCCTGTTTGTGGACAAGGCTTTACTGACAGGGCCAAAGTTATCACTCACTTAGGCACAGAGGTGTAATTATGGTTATTCTCTGAGCCTCTTTGTCTACTAATGCAGGAGGATTCACTCCTCAACCAGTCTACATTTTATCAGCCTCTGTGGGCTGAACTCAACCCTGATACACATAGGGGAATGAACTCCACACTCGTAGCTGGAGGTGAGAAGAGGTCATTCAGGTGTGCTTGGTGTTCATGTGTTGAAGAGAGGGAAGATTATCTTGTCCCAGTCACCACTGTAAGACCCTTCAGCTTGATGGCACTGTCACAGATGTGTTCTCAATGACCAATCTTTGCCCCTAAATACAGAAGAGTGATTTTTTTTTTTTTTTGGTGACAGCAGTTTGTTCCAAGGGCTGCATAGATTTTCCAGATACGTATTTATATTTAGATTGCATTTTTAATCCACAAAAGATCAGGTTTTATTTGCCAATCCATGAAATTGCCTAAGGGATATTTTATAGCTAAAAATAATTAATTCTGAGGAACAAAATCACACATGACAACAGAGGAAAACTGGCTTATATGTATGTTATATATGTGAGGTGTTTGTATGCCGAGAGGGAAGTAGAATTCTTGGCTTTAACAGCTTAGAGCTAGGGGATTAAATCATGTAGTAACTAGTAACAGTGTACAAAAATGATGAAAAATGAAAATCAACGAGGCCTGAGTTGTCTTCCAGCAGAGTTGACTGATATGTAAAGAAAACTTTGGCAGAGCAAACCAAGTTTTCTTCAAGTGGGATTTCATAGCCTATCTACTGTGGTTTATTATCAGTTTACTTTGATAAATAATCATCTTCTCTTTTTAAAAGAAAACATATCTGGTTTTGAAAATCTGAAAACAGTGGATTTTAATTTCCTATGATATAATGAATATCATTATAAATTTAAAACATAAAAGCTGAATTCTTCTCTTTGTAATTCACATTTAACTCTGTGTTAATTGTTGGAAAATTGCATTCCTGGAGGTGATGAGAGAAGTTGACCTAGCAGGCTTGGTAATTCCTTTTCAATGATTACAGTTTAATGTTTGTGGTTTAGACTCTCTGTTTTCAGTTTGTTGGTATTTCTATCATCTCATCAAGTTTTTACTCATTCCATTGTCCATGATACCATAAGAGTTACAAGTGCATATTTCCCACTTGCTTCTAAGAAATAAACCTATATATTCACAACATACCTCTGTGAAAAAGGACGAATATCATGTTAGGTGATTACACAATCATAGTTTACAATCTTCATGCATGTAAAATCTTAGAGGTGAAAATTACAAGTGCATTTCCAGAGGACAAGATGAAGCTATTTTCAAAATATTGCAGCTAAGAAAAGTAGAGGCTAAGGGTGGAGTGTGTCCTTTGGCAGTTGAGTTAATTAAAAAAACTCCAGTGTCTGAAGCAATCTAATCTTTCCATAAACTATACTTACGTTGTTTTGGAGAGTTACGGAGTGATAACATTTCCTTTGCCGCCTTTGCCAATTGTCTCGAAAGGAAAAACAAATTTCCTTTTAATCACTCTCATGGAGCTTTCCTGTCATCACATCAATTATCTCAGGACTCTAGGACACACAGCTGTTTCACCACTTCAAAGAATGTTGCAGGCTCACCCCATTTCAAATTTTTCTTAAACCAGTGCAAGTTTATATTGCTTATATCACATTAGCTTTCAATATTATCACATTGTCTCTGTAATTCTTTAACTGAGCTCTGCTAAGTTAATTTAAGAGTATCCATACATAAAACAGCCTTGGGGCCCAGACAGATGGATATTTGGAAACAGCTGTACTAGTTTGAGAAGTTACTGTCCAGGGGTTTTCATTATCAATCTCAGCTGTGATGCCATAATTAATTCTGTTAGTGCTCCAGCTGCTCTTGTTTCTGCTGTTGTTTTTCTGCTGTTTATTGATGTCGTTCAAACCTATTTCGTTGTGAAGTCAGCAAGGTTAGTTTAACTGCTTTTACCAGTGATTCAGTCTAACCCAGCACTGGAGTGGATTGTGAACACTCATACAATAGTGAATAGCATCACACAACTACTTCTTAACCTTGTCTTTCTAAGCATTTGGTTTAACTGAATTAATTGATTTGGTTAATTCAATTAATCCCCTTTAATTAAACCACTAAGCTCTTCGCATCAAGCAGACAAAGCATTTATTGTTACCGAAAACTCAGATGTCACAAATAAAGCATTAAGATTCACGACCAAAAGAGAAAGAATAACATTTATAAATAGATTGGGCATTTCAGTACAAAGTTAACCACGTTAAGAATAATAATGAAGTATCTCTTAAATTTGTATATGACTAACCCTGTTTATTGGATGCTGTAAACAGTGTTGAATCTAACTGTAGGGGATGAATGGTTGAGCTGCCAAATAGCTTTTAGAAAATGCTGACTGGAGCAGTAATGTGATTCTATTGACACTACTAGAAAGATCAGCATGCCTTCCATGGAAATATCAGCCAAAGACTCAGTAAATGTGAGCTAAGAGCAGAGTCTGCTTTGTCGTGGCTTTCAGCACAATGCTGGGTGTCCCTGATTTCGAGGGTATGTTTGATACAAAGACCTATAGTTTTATGCCACTGTATTTGTATAATACTGACCAATGTGATATGTAAAGAAGATACTAAGTTAGAAATGTAAACTGGCTGTAATTAACAAATCCAAAGGCATTCTGAATTTATTTTTCTGCTTTCAGGAAGTGTGTTAAAGCATGTGCATTAATTTTGAAACAAACAGTTGAGCTTTCATTAGAACATAATCAAAATGAAACACTTGTGGAGTTTTGTTTTCTTTTTTCAAGTAGAGACCAAAACTCTCATTTTTATGGGGCAGCAACTTCCCTATTCAAAAGGTATTCCTGTGCTTCCTTGGCCAGGGCTTCTGCCATCCTTTCCTTTTCTTGGCACTAGCACTCGTGGCTTCACAGTGAGCTGGTTCAGCTGGCTGATCTGACAAAGAACTGCTCTTCAGTTCTGCTCGGCTGCCCCTCGGGATGGTTTTCTGCTGGATCATCCTGATCAACTGACTTGCCCAGTAATGACACAATCCTTACATCCAGTATAAGGGAAATGGTGCAACAGTAATTGAGGGGAGGAAAACTGCCCATTTGTGATGGCCACTCACTTTCAGATCAGCTAATCTGTCCTGTGTCTGCTGTGTCATGTGAAACCATACCCCACATGGTGTGTCTGCTTGGTGGCTGGGCTGTAATGTAGCCTCAAATAAACCACTGATTCTCCCCCTGCTTCACAGAATGGTAAAAATTTCTTCTTTTTGCTTTGTAATTCGTTATTGTTCTTTTGCTGTATCTTTTAGACTCTTTATTACTTTTGGAAAGTGCTCTAGGATAGAAAGTGTAGAAACTGCATGGAAATTACTTTAACATCACCTTGCAGGACTGTTGACCTCTTTTAATGCATATGCTGGTGAAATTTCTTTGTGAGTGCAAAGAAAAAAGTGTGTTTCTTTCAGCATACACCCAAGATCATAAAGCTGCAGCATTCTTGGCTGATGTTTTGTTTGCTATACTGCTCTAGTGCTGTAACATTACATTCCCCCAAATGATCTGTGTTTAAGGTTTTAAGGTCCTTACTCTGAACAGTTTCTACTTTCAGACTGAAAATGTAGAGAGAAGCAGAACACTTAATACTTAGTTTCATGGCTCACAGCTTTAGACATGTGGGGAGAAACAGAATTTTCTCCAATATAGCACAGCTGATAGGATAGATTTGTTCCAGAATATTTTATAGACTTAAAAAAACCCCATTACCTTCTACAGAAAATAAAGCTAATCAAAACTAACCTCCAGAGGATGTGACTGAGCAGCAGATGAGCTGAGGCTTTTGTTTTTAATATGTTGTCCTTTCTGATTTTACTACTCTGATTTGCTGAAATTACTTTAATGTAAATATACTTCAGTAAGTGATTTAATAGCCTGCATGTTATTTGAGGTGATATTCAGC